CTAAAGGAGAGACACTTAGTTTAGTGCAATACTTTGAAGGTGCCTCCAAAGTGTGGATGTAGATCAAGGTTTGACCAAATCATTATAAATCCGGTGTGTTCTTTCTTTATTATTTCCGCATTTAATTTCTGCATCGTTGGTTTTAATTGTGGTGAATAATCTTGATTCTGGATTTAAGATTGTGTTTGTTTTAAATACCGATTCACCTCTCTCTTTATTAGCCTTGGGCCAGCTCATAAGGGGCCTAACATCCCATAACGAACTTTCAAAGATCCAAAGCAGATTCGTAGTGTTCCATCGAATGGCTCGTATTGATTCCCCCGATCATAGAGAGTTTTTCAACTATTTATTTGCCTTAACAATGTCAGAATTCGAAGATCTTGGGTTCTTTTGATTCGTCTCGCCGAGCCGCTCGATTTGACTATAAGCATGTCATATTTGAATATCATTTTATTATCCAAATAATGCTTTGACCCTTCAGATGTGGTTTGGGCCCCTGATTCAGACCCATTTGGGCTTGGGTTGGACAAATTTTGGTGTTGTTTTGGTTCGTCTCTCAAGATGTTCAATTTGACTATAAGTTTGCTGGAATTGGAATTCAAATGATCCTGAATTTAATTTTGAAAGTTTCCAACTTAAATATGCCTCAAGATTCATGCTCGATCAATGCAATTTTCAGTGACATATCACTTATGACATAATTATGGGGTGAATGATATGATTGAAAGTAAAACAAAATAAATTTTTGTAAGACGATTCTTTTATATAATATTTTTGTAAGACTGATTCTTTATATAATAATAATTTCCCTTTAAGAAAATCAAAATAAACTATTAAAAATTTTGGAGCATATAAAATTTAATTATCAATTACCCCTATAGTTTTTTTTCTACAAACAAATCATGGGTAAATATAATAAACATTAAAAAAAATGTTCTCAATACAATCAATATATAGAAGATTCTTCAGAATCAAACTAATCTATGTTCAGGAGCCAAGAAAAAGTCAATAAATATAGTTGATAATAATTAATTTATTAATTAACATTTGCATCAAATGAGTTATTAATTAGAATAGTCTGTTCTCATTACTTTGGACCCCACAGGTGACTACCTTGTTGCGTCTCATCTTCCTTAGGTAACATATTAGAGCTCCAAAGCCAGCCAGCCCAGCAAAAGATGCCACTGTAGCAGAAACTGCACCAATATTCCATATTTAATTAATTTTCATTATTCAAAATTAGTTTTATGCAAATAAAACTATCATATTTTTTTCATATGTATTATCTCACTATAAGCATGAGAGATCAAAAGTGTAAGCTTAGGTAGATAATTCATATTTGTTAGAATCTGCTTACCGGCGATAACTACAGCTGAAGCTCTGTGCTTCCATGAGCCATCTGCAAGAGCCTGACTTTAGTTTGACGAGAAAAGAGCATAATAAAAAATATTAAAAATTTAATTATATAAATTCTCAAAAACAACTTTGAAGCATATTTTTCTTAGCAATTAGTTTCTTATATATAATTCTTTTGCCTTTAAATCAATTCACTATAATAAATAGAGTTAATTAGTTACAAAAATAGAAATTAAATAATCTTGATCAAATTTAAAGCAAAATATTTAACTCAAAATTTTCCTCATATGCAAAATTCCGAAACTACAATAGATATAAATAATTAATTTGAACTTATAATTTAGCACCACTTTTATATTCTCACCTTCACAAACTAGTTGTAGAATTCTCTCCACCAACCAAAGTCATAAGAAATTATCGGTCACTGTATCGAACCCACATGTTCCATTTCCCTTCTCCATGCAATTCCGGCACTTGGCCATGACCGGAATCTCAAAATCTACTCGAATCCCATACTCCGCCACCTCATCTCCATCACCATTGTCACCGCTTCCTTTTACCCTCCAGTACAAACCAACATATCCCATACAATGCCGAAGCATTTTTCTCACTGATTCCACCGCAGTTGGGAAATAAGAACAACAGGTGGTGGAGCTATCCGGAATCAAATTAGGACATCCTGGAAAGTTTTGGCAGAGATAAGCATTGGAATCGCAAGAAGAGCCGCAACGTTCAGGTAATTTGTCGCAGAGTGCGGGTCGGCGTTCGATTATGACGGTATCAGCGCTGCAATTGAGAAAGAGAAATGAGTTTTTGGAGGAAAGGGAGAATCTTGTGCTTGTGTCGAGGGAGAATGGGGCTTGGGGAATAGGAGATAGGACTTTGCAAGTCCACATTGAAGGGTCAGAGATAATGAGATGGGAGTCTTGGTTTGAGTAGGAGAGGGAGATGATAGGGTAAGAGCCGGAGGGAGTGCGGAGGAGAAGAATGGGGGGATAGTTATTAGATAGGCTGGCGTTGCAGGAAAGGAGGTGACAGTAGAGAGGGCTGCCGCAGCCCATCGTCGATGGATAGGGGATAGTGAATGGGTAGTAGGCCGCAGGAGGAGCGGCAAGAGGTTGTTGACGAAGAGGAGATGGAGAAGTAAATGGTGGACAGGAGGAGGAATAGAAAACCGCTGCCAGAGAGGATTTAGCTACTTTTTCTCATAGTTTGTTTATATTACTTGAGATTAGTTATTAATAATTTTCTTCGTTTTAGCTTTTGCTTTTGCTTTTTTAGCTTTAATTAGTATTGCAATGTGTTTGCTAGCACTCCTTTATTCTGCCTTCTTTCTTGACAAAAGTTGACAACTAAATCAAAACGTATCCTACTCGTTAGAAATATTTAGTGACACAATATGTTTTCTTATCATTTCTATTCGTTAATAATATATACTTATCATTTTTCTATGAAAGTAACATGCGTTATGAAAAATAGCTTTAAAAAGAATAAAGTGTAGAGAATGATTTAATGTTTTCTACAGTATCTAAAGATACATAATCGTATGAGAATAAACTTAGCTTGAGATTAGTTATTAATGATTTTAATAGCTTGAGAATTTGCTTTTGCTTTCGCTTTTCTTTGCAGGACAAATTTTAAAAACAGAATCCTTACCTTTTTAAATTATGAGAATAAAAATGAAATAGAAAAAAAAAATTATGTGCAGTTGCTGTTTGAGGGACTGATTTGCTGCCACGTCAGTATTTTTTAAAACTTTTTTTATTATTTTTCTTTGATTAATTTCGGAAGAAACGCAAATTTATGGTTAATTTATAAATATATGTTATCTTTTAGTTTATAATTTTTTTTATATATTTATATTTCCTTTGGTTAATTCTTTTTTCTTAGTTTTGGTATCATAAGCTTATTATTGATTATGTTCCGGTAATTTCTTTTAAATTATTTTTATAGAGTTAATTTTTTAGTTAATATTATATAATTTTAGTTTAATTTTAGGGGAATTTACATACATACCACTACATACTACTATATTTATATATGTAACAAACTAAAACTTTAATAGTATATATATATATATATATATATTATATATATATATATATATATATATATATTAATAAATTATAAAAGTTTAATCTATATATTTACCAAGGCTTTTAAAATCGGATTGGTCAATGAATCGAAAGAACAAGAGGTTATTAGTTCGATGGCTTGATCGGGGTCGAACCGGATGACATAATAAATATTTATTATATTTAAATATTATAATAAGTACACAACTATTTATAAATATATAACAAAAATTGAACATAATTTAAGCAGTATGTGAAGGTAGACAAGGCAATATAATTTAAGATAAAGATATGCACTTCAATCTAAACTTTATCGAAATCCTAAAGAGCATCATTTCATGATCACTAAAGAGCAGCATTTACATCATAGAGGACTTAATTAAATACCATTAGGCATGATCTAGACTCATCCTTATGGTAATAAAATAACAGAATAAAATTTCAAGGGAAGCCATTTCACTTATGATTGCAAGCATCGCCATCAAAATTTAATTCCATGTTTCAATTACAAAAAACATGAATTAACATATAATGATAGTAAGCTAACACAGATACTTGTTTACTACTTTGATGTATGGACTATGGAGTCAAAAGTAAGAGTTGAACTAAAGATTAAAGGGAATATTTTTTTAAACTAGGTATTATTAAAAATTTAATAATGTAATTAAGTATTGAAAAAAATAAATTTAAAAGTAGGCAAAGTCGCCCATCAAACGGGCGATTTATGCTCACTCAGACTTACTGAGTCATGTGCCAGTCGCCGAAATAACATGCAACTTATTTAAAAAAAAATTACTATTGTAAGTTGCCCGTTAAACGGGCGACTTGCTACAGTAAATTCTGAAAAATAATTAAAAAAAATAAGTGAAAAATGTAATAAATAAATATACTTGAAAAATAATAAAAAATAAAAATAGAGAAAAATAATATAATTATGATATTTGCTTTTGAAGCCTATGTTTAAGGAGAAATTTTGAATCGTTAAAAAAAATAAAAAATAAAATAAAAAACTATGAGTCGTTATTTTTTTTTTCTGTCGCTTTAATTTTTGATGTAACGCCTATCCATTAAATATACCAATTAAAATTTTAATACTTTCAAAATAAATAAAATTTTTATCAAATTTTGATGAATATCTATTTTTTAAATGATTAACATCTATTAAAATATAGAAATTATAGTTTACATTAACATTATATTTTTTTTTGTTTTTTTTCTCTATTTTTTATTTTTTATTATTTTTTAAGTATATTTATTTAAAATTTTTTCACTTAATTTAATTTTAAATTATTTTTCAGGATTCAATGTAGCAAGTCTCCCGTTTAACGGGCAACTTACAATAGTAATTTTTTTTTTAAATAAGTTGCATGTTATTTCTGCGACTGGTTACATGACTCAGCAAGTCTGAGTCAGCATAAGTTGCTCGTTCGATGGGCGACTTTACCTATTCTTAAATTTTTTTTTTCGATACTTAATTACATTATTAAAATTTTAGAAATACCTAATTTAAAATTTTTTCCAAGATTAAACAAGTAAACAATCAATGTGGTGAATGAAAATGACATAACAATCCTTTAATCAGTAGTGAATGAAAATGTTTTTTGGACCTACTGCAAGGAGAAACCCACAAATCATTTCAGAACCCATATATATAAATAAGACAAACCATAAAAACAACCAAGGAGAAATTCGAATTATGACATTCCATTGAAATAAAGAGCAGCTTGGCAATGGAACTTTCCTAATGGTGGCATTCCATTGCCCTAAAAATAAAAAGAAAATCAATCCACGAATAACAGATGATAGAACCCTAAATGCATTTTGTATTTCAGAATAAAAATAAGAGGGCACATGAAAAAGAAATTTTAATGATATACAAACTAGAAAACTATAAAGATTAAAGATTAAAGACTACATTCATCATGTCTTTAAATTTTGAAAAAAAAAAAAAAACTCATTTAGAAACAAACGAGAACCAGAGATGTTGGCTTATGGCTTCGGGAAGGAGCAGCCGGTGTTGGCTTGTCTTTGTATAAACTAACAACGTCGGAGACGGGACTCTGAACGAGAAGAAGAAGGTCGACCGGTTCATTAGCGGTTCTATGTGAAACAGCTTATAACAAGAACTGTAACCAACAGGCCAGCCGGTTCACAGTTCAACCGGTTGAACCCGTGGGTCCGATCTTGTTTTAAAAGCCTTGTTCATTACTACAACTTTAGAATAAAATTAAATTAAAGTTATATTATATTAACTGATAAACTTACTATAATTTTTTTTAAGAAATTACAATAACATAATCAAACAATAAGTTTATTCTACCGAAAAAAAAAAAATAACCAAAGGAGATAAAAAACTATAAAAAAATTATAAAATATAAAAAATAATATATATTTATAATCACTTAAATTTTTGTCTGCTCTTCCAAAATTAATCACAACTTGTATGTCCCTCAAATAGCGACTGGCGCCACGTCAATAAATTAGTCCTCTGAATAACTCTGTATTCAGTTAAAGTTGGCTCAATCAATTAGCCTCAAAGTTGAGTTGACAAAAGAGGTGGACTATTTGTTGATGAACTCAGCAATTAAGGAACAATTATTAGGTCAGGTGACCTGACGTAGCTCTACATTCGGACGCCAATAACATGTCGCCACGTACTCTTACTCTTTACCGCGAAGCCCGACGACTTGACCCGTGATTGATATGTTCTCGTATTGCTCGGTATTGCTAGGTATTGCTCGGTATTGCTAGGTATTTCTTGACAATAATGAAAAATATCGCTCTGTGAAGACCAATATCGAGAAATACCGAGCAATACCGAGAAACTCGGTATTGCTCGGTATTACTCGGTATTGCTCGGTATTGGTCTTCACAGAATGGTATTTCTAGTTATTGCCGAGCAAAATCGACCAATACCGAGCAAATACCGAGGAATACCTAGCAATACGCGAACATAACAATCCCGGCTCCGTTCCGGGTATGGGTTGTCGGGCCGCGTGGTAAACAGTGAGAACAAGTGGCACTATTTTACTGGCGTCCAAACGTAGAGCTACGTTAGGTGACCGGACCAAATAAAAGCTCGCAATAAGGTTGTCAAGTTGGCTAAGGTTACTTGGTCTCTTAGAATATAGTGGGCACAACATTGATATTCTATGGTAGCCCTTTTTTTTGTGGTAGTGTACGGTTATTTGCAAATTAAGGGAGTTTTACTTCATATATTATTGCGTTTAAGTTTAATTCAGCTCAAATATGCCAATGTTCATATTCAATTTAAAACTCAGTCATTGTTTCATGTTCCGCACCCATAACTTGACACCGTTTCAGTTATAATATGGATAATTTATCTATCATTATTGGTTTGTATTAATCATGTCCATTAATATCATTGATAAGAACATAAAAAATACCTATTATGGCAATTATAAGTGCTAAACATTTAAGAAAATAGCTGTGGTTGTCACTGCCACAAATATGAGGAATTAGTGACGATTATAACTGTCGAGAAAAATTAACCTTTACCTGTTGGTCCTGCAACCGCTATGAAACGACATTACACTAGAAACCCTGACGTGCAACCGCTGTGAAACGATATTACACCAAAAACCAACTACAGCAGACTTGTAATGGTTTTATTAAAAACATTGCAAACATTTTTATTTGGTTATTAAAACCTTCACAAAAGCCTATTTTAAGTGCTATGAAAGGTATTTTTTTAGTAGTGTAAGTAGGAGAGGATGTATGTTGGATTGAAGGCATAATTGTTGGAAAATTTCTAATGTGAGCCCATACATTGATTAACATTAGTTGTTATCTATATTTAAGCATATCAGAATGTGATCTACTTGAGTAATAATTATTATTTACCTTATGAGTCCGCTCTTTTATTTTTTATGAAATTATCATGAGTATTGTATATTCATATATGCACATATAGATAACTCCCGAGTATCAAAATATGTTAGTATAAAAGACAGGGTCAAAGGAAACACACTCTCAAGATAATGCTAGCCCAAAAAAAGCCTTGCCTTGAGAGAGGCCATCACTAGCATCGAACTGTGAGCAAGTAGCCACTCTCCCTAGAGGAACTAACAACATACAA